ATCCTGCCATGGGGAAGGCCGTTAAACCATTCCACTGGCCTCCCTCTCAAGGATGAGAAGAAGAGTAGGCATTCCTCAGCATCAGTGCACCCGGCCATTTGTGCTGCATTGTGGAAGGTGTCAAGGTGGACGTTTGGATCCTCCTTTCCTGTGAATTTCTCCACGTCCAGCTTAATCTTCCGCCTCAACCTCTGCGCATGTACCCTGGTCGAAAAGGGAGATTTAGCCAAGGTGTGCTTTTTCGCTCCCGCCTTCTCTTCCACCTTTTCCTCCAGGGCACGTAGTTTCCTTGCCACGCTCCCTATCTTGTCCAGGTCATCCTCATCGTATGAGAGTCTGGTATATGCCGACGCCCTCGGCTGGTTTTCTACTTCCTCTTCGTCTTGGTGAATCATCTCAGATTCCCTAGAACGATGAGATTGGGCGTGACGACTCCCGCCAAGTCTTTCCATTGCGCTATTCCGGCCCATCTCAGGACCAAGACGTAGCTTGGCAGACTTGCGGGGTCCATCCTCTTTGTCTCCTAGGCGTTTGAAAGCCGAATCTCGGGTCTTGCTGGGTTTGGCTATGGCCTTACCCTTCCTCCTGCGGGCCGCCTCTTGCTCCGCCTCATCGATCTCATGGACATTTGAGGGTGCTGCTTCATTCATGGTCCCCGTCAGATTCACCGGATGTATAGGGACCATCCTAGGGACAAATGTCGACGGGGTCGACACCAAAGGTGGCATGATTGGTGGCGTCATGCCGGGATAGGCAAATGGCATGAAGCCCCCTGCCTGTTGCATCATGGCCATCACCTGTTGATAGCCCTGTAGAGCCTGAGCATTTGCCGGGTCAGGAGCAAACTGAGCCCAAGCTGACGGGTATGGTGTGAATGCTCCACCAGGCGTTGTTATCGAGCCTGGGAACATTGTTGTCGTCGGCGTAGGAGTAGGGGTTGACATGATTGGGATCATGCCAATCGATCCTACAGTGGTGATCGGAGCAAAGGTCGTCCCCATGCTCGACATCATCAATGAGATGGCAGGAGTGCTTTCACTCGCAGCCTGGTTTGACACAGCGTTGTAGTTGCTTGAAGACATGATTGTGGATATTTAGTGGGGGTAAAGTTTTGACCTAGTCGAAAAAACCTTAAAAATCGGTCCCACGGATGGCGCCAAAAATGATGGTGTAAATATAGCGGGGTGGGTTAACCGGGTTTGACCTGGACACACTCGACCCGTAATATAAAACACACAACAAGAACACAAAGTATGACCTAGACCGGGTAAATCTCCTCAGTCTGAATTATATTTCTTACTCTATCTCAAGAGTGAACTTTAGTGAGAGAAAAATTGGATGCCCTCCTCTATCAAATATCATCATATTTATAGAGGAGGATTTGTGACCCTCCCCTGTTCATCCATGGACAAAATAGGAAGCTCGTGGGAAGGTCACTGTAGATAATGGAAGCACTGCACAATCATAGAATTTAGCAACTATAAGCCAAGACATGTACTGTTCAATCAAAGACTATATATGGATATTCTCAATCCAATCAGCCCTGCAAAGTGACAAACATCCCTTTCACTGTTTGTCTCGTGATGGGCGAACGGCGGGGTGGTCCATCGATCTTTGACGTGGTTCACCATGCCTGAGATACTGGACCAATGTTTGTCAAGTAAGATGATATGACCGGTCACCTTTTTATCAAAGGTTGACCGGTCATTTCTTGAGCTCAACCCGTCTCTTTGGTCTTCTTGAATTCTTCACAACATTAGGCGACATTTTGGCTATCGCCCAAAATGTGACCGGTCACTTTTTTAGTGGAAGTGACCGGTCAACTTTTGACCCGTCCTAATCGAAGAGTTAACCTCTTTTGGTGATTGGTAAAAATGACCGGTCATATTTTGACCTGTCTCTTTCGGTTATCCGGGTCGGGTATAAGGATATACCCATCAAAAGAATGAAGTAAAAAATAAAATATTAAATATTAAATATATATTAAAATAAAGGTTTAAATTTTTATTTTTGAAAGAAAAGTTAAAATCCATATACAATGTTAACTATAACCATATAAGTATCATGAAATGTCTATATACAGTCTTAATGTCAGAGTGTAAACTCCTATTTGGAATAAAAATAAGGAGCTTGTATTTTAGTAATTTCTTTATATTTTACTCTAATTTAGGACAATTTCTTAAGAGTAAATTCTATAACTGGTCCTTTATAAAAGGAGGGTTTCCTCATTTAGTTCTCTATTATCAAATATTATCCTCGTAGTCCTTTTTTTAAAGGTGTCTTTCCACAAATGGTCCTTTTTTTATCTACAATCATGTTGGTGTTAATTTGAGAGCTAAAAGTGTACTTTCACAATGATAATATATCTTTTTTGTCACATACAATTCCAAAGGGTGTTGTGTTTGCGTCGTTTGTGAATTACAGTCGCTTTCGACTACAACCATAGTCTACAAATGTGGTCTTTCATCGGAATCCTAGCCCACAATCATAGTCATTATTTTTGTGGTATCCGCTTAACCAATATCAGAACACGCCATTAGACATAATGTTGATGCCAAATTATATTTTTAGCCTTTAAATTAACACCAACATGACAGAAGATCAAAAAAGACCATTTGTGGAAAGGCACCTTTAAAAAAAGGACTACGGGGGTAATATTTGATAATAGATGACTAAATATGGAAATTCCCATGTTATAAAGGATCAATTATGGAATTTACTCATTTCTTAATCATTAGTTCAAAAATGATATCAATTCAAGTTGGTTCATGTGCTTGATTCATTAATTTTAAAATGCTTGATGTACACCAATATACTACCTCCGTCCCAGGGTATTTGTCCACTTTCATTTTTACACACCATCCAATACACTTTTTTAATTCATTTTGATGGGTGTATTCCACCCACGACCGGTCAAAGGAGAAGGCCAATTAGTTGACCGGTAAATCTCGAAAGTTTTGGAAGGGAAACTTAAATCGTCAGCAAATCGATATATAATCGGCCCAAAGATGACCGGTGTACTTCACGAAAAAGTATACCGGTCAAACTACTTTGTCCCCCTATTTTTCCATAACTTCGATGATTTCATCCCACGGAGATTACCCGGTGTACTTTCTAGGGTTGGAAAGTGTCGTCAGAAGAGAATCTAAGAGGGCTTGGTGTGTAGCGACCCATGTCAGTAGATGACAACTGGAGATGCTGAAGAATCCATCCAAGGCACAACTCGACAAAGGGAATAATCCCCCTCACAAGGCGACAAGGCAGCTCGAGGACGAAACCAGTCACCTCGCACCACATCAGCAGCATGCCCCCACGTGGGCGCACGTGGTCTTGTCCCCCATAGCCTAGTATAAATACTCATGTAAACCTCAGAAAGAGGGATCCGAATTCATTCTCTCTACTCCCTTGTAAAAGCACCCGTGCAATCTGCGTTATAATATAAATTGGGCTACAGGTGTTCCACCTAAAGTCCTACCGGTCAATCTGCGTGTTTTTACCTTTCTTACTTTGCCAAATCAAGCAAACTATTCTAGACCCGGTCTAGTATAGTTTGACTGGTCAAGTAATTTACACCATCACATTTTATCTTGTAATTTGTATATTAAAAAATTATAGAAATTATATATTAATAATTTATATGTTAAGACAAATCAAACAAGATCACACATGACTATATTTAAGTTTACACAATGAGAGAATTTGACGAGTCAAAGTGTTTAGATGAACATTTTCAAAAGTTAAAAGTGGACGAATACTCCGGGACGGAGGGAGTACTTCTTTCATCCCATAAAGATGTTCTCATTTTACTTTTAGAAACTTTAAGGTGAGATATTTTTGTGTTGACTTTTCAAAAATACCATTGATGTCATATGTATAAATAAGATGTGATTGGTAGATTATAATTAAAAAAGTATGATATGATAGATTGGTTGAGAATTATTAAAGGTTAAAGTGTTTTTTCAATTTTTATTCACCCAATAAACTATGTATGGTGGATGCTTAAGTAAGGTGTAAATTGTGATACCATATGGTAATACCATATGGTATATCAAGTATTATCTCCGTCTAGATAAATCTATCAAATTTCATTTTTTTTTATTCAAACTGAATAAAACTCAACTTGTTAAATAAAAATGATCATCTATTTTAATATAAAAATGATTTTACTGAAATTTATCTTGTATACTACTTTCAACATTTTATTTCATTATGACAATATGCAATGCAAATATAGAATAATCGATGATTAAAACTTGAGAAATTTACTTAAATAGTACTATAACATAACGATTTTCCCTAAATAGCACCACATGTGTTTTTTCTTCCCAATGTAGCACTTTTAGTCATTATGGAGTCATTATTCAAGTAAATATTCACCATCACTGGATATTATGAACATTATTAAGTGTTATTTAGAGAATAAAAAAGTTTAAGTATTATTTAAAGAAATGACTTAGGTTTTAGTGCTATTTAGTGCAAATATTTCTTAAAACTTATCCAGTTTAAATTGAAAAAATTAAACTATATTATACTTTGACCAACAAATTAAATATCATTTTAAATAATTAAATATTACTCCCCCGTCCTAAAACTTTCTTCCCACTTCTCCTTTTTCTCCGTCCTAAAAGTACCTTTTCATTATAAAAAAAGATGACAAATGACATTGATACCCTCATGTATTTGCACCAATTTCTTTTTTGAAACCAAAGAAGAATTATTTCAACCGATGTAGTAATGTTTTAAGATCTTGGGTTAATTTGACTTGAGGAGGTTGGTGAAACACGTTACTAGCTACTTCCAACTTCCTAAGTAGTGTGAGTTAGGTGATTTTCAAATATCTTTTCTGCTATAAATTCCACTAACTAACAACCTCCATGCTCTCCTCTCATAGAGTTACGCACACTCCACCAAACCCAACTTCTCAATATTTTCACTTTGACCCCAAAATGAAACTCCAACTTTTTCTCGTCCTTTCACTTTCGTCCCTCCTCCGCCTCCCCTGCCCAGCCCTCTCCGACAACCCCACCTCCGACGACGGAGCAGAGAAGTCCCCGGTTCTCGACGCCGCCGGCGGAAGGTTGCTGGCCGGGGTCAACTACTTCGTCCTACCCGTTACCGGCGGCGGCCTTTCCCCGGCTAAAGTCAACGAGAAACGCGCCGCCTGCCCCCGCGACATCGTCCAAGAATCCGGCGAGGACCTGACCGGTTTACCGGTCGTGATCTCGCCGGTCGAGGGCGGGACCGGTCCGGTCCCGCTTTCTACCGACGTCAACGTGAAGTTCTCCGCCCCGATCGCCGCCGCCTGCTCGAACGAGACGGTGTGGAGGGTGGGGAAGTACGACGGGGCGGTGGAGAAGTTCCCCGTCGTAACCGGCGGCGCGGAGGGGAACCCCGGGCCGGCGACGATCGGGAACTGGTTCAAGATCGAGAAACACGGGCCGGGTTACAAGTTCGCGTTCTGCCCGACCGTGGCCGGCACGCTCCAGGTGGTCTGCCAGGATGTCGGCGTGTTTTCCGGAGCCGGAGGTGCTCGGGTCTTGGCGCTTGGCGATTCGCCGCTGGTCGTGACGTTCAAGAGAACCGGCCCGTGGGAAGCTCCGGTCCCGTTTCTCCCGGCTCCGTTTCCCCCGGTTCCGGTCCATCCGCCCCCGGAGGCTCCGTTCCATCCGGCTCCGGAAGCTCCAGTTCCGCCGGCTCCACCGGCGCCGGAAGCTTCGTCTGCACATTGGGGCACAAAGGCGGGTTTCTATCACGTGATGCTTCTCGGGACGACGACGTTTGGGGCAATGTTGTTGTAGATTTTCCAAGTTGACTAGTGGTCGTGTACTACTACTGTTTTCAATCGTTGTCAAGTGGCTTTTACTTTCTTTTTCTTTTTCTTTTTTTTCTTTTTCTTTTTTTACGTGGTTTAATGGGCATGTGGGGTCTACCTACCTATATAGTCCAGGTGTCGAGCTGTGCGTCGCTTCAATTCCTATATGACCTACTACTGTGATGAATAATGCAAACGTTTTAGAGGTTTTGCATTGAAAATATATTTCCCCTTGTCCGAAAAATTCTCATTTTGATTTTTTTTAGTTATATTAATGCTAGAGTTACAAATAACTTGAGCTTAAATTTAACAAATCTGTTATTTGTGTAATTAAATTTTTATTTTTAAATTATTTAAAATCATTTTATTTATATAGGAAAGTGCACAAATAGTAAATTTTGTGTAGTTTGTGTCTAAGTTGTCTGTGATTCTAGCATTACTCTGATTTCATCGCTTTGTTTTCTCCTAAATATTTTTACTTTCTTTTAAAATCCATTTTTGCTCTTACTTTTCTTTATCCTACATATCAGATTATACTTTTTCACTAATAATTTATTTATCATATCTTATTTTTATTTATCACATCGAGAGCAAAATTAAAAAGTCAACAACAAAGACACTCTTTATTTTTCCTAACAATCAATTCCGAGTACTAATAACGAATATACACAATAATTAGGGATGACAACTCGGAGAACTAACATACACTTCATTCATATAGTCTACACATTTCAAAACCATTGAGAAATTTAACAACTTCCATAAGTAAACACTTCCAATATTTTAAAAAATGACCCCAACCGAGGGTTTCGTCCCTTGGAAACCGCCAAGGGTGGCCGCCTCTCGATCTCGGTTACGAAATTTGTAATATCGTTTAACGAGTATACACGTACCTCCAAAATTGTTATCAATATTTATTGAAATTTTCGTCCCATCCTAAATAAATCTAATTATTCAAAATTGTCGATGACATTAAAACCACTAACGTGTTACACTCTTTTGAGGTTGAATTGGGTTAGGGTGGGTCTGGGTAGACCTGGCAAAAGGTGACCCGACCTGTTTTTGACTCGAAACCCGACCTGAAAACACTGGATTTTGAATAAAGGTTTTGATGACCAAACTCGAAGTTGACCCAATCCAAAATGACCTACTAAAAATGGGTCAAACCCGGCCGAACCTGAACCCGACCTGACTGACCCACTAAAGTAAGAATTTTTCAAAATTATACACTTTACTACTCGTTTTTAGTGTATAAATTTATATTTTCAGACACAATTTTAATGATATTGCATAATTATTTTACTTTTTTCAAAACTTAAGCATATTTAAATTTCTTATATTGATTTATATATCTAAAAATTACTTCGGAGTTTAAAATAAAATAATTTTGTAGATTTTTTTTAATATTTTAAATTTATTTAATAGAAAATGTAAGTGTTAATGTAAATTTAAAATTTTAAAAAACCAGATTCATAACCCGTTGGGTCGACCCGAATCCGATGACACTGGGTCATGAACAAACAATTCTCAACCTGAACCCGCGAATTGATCCGAACTTAAAATAACTCGAACTTGAAGTGACCGAACCTAAATATGACCTGACCGACCGATTTGTCAGCTCTAGGTGTGGGTGTTCTTTTCATTTTTCAATAATGTAAGATGGGCTACTATAAAAGGTATTAAAATGGAGAAAGAAACATTGGTAGACAAAAATCAAGGGATATACTCGGTGATGGATATATTCCGATACCCGACCCGGACAACCGAAAGGGACAGGTCAAAATATGACCGGTCACTTTTATCAATCACCAAATGAAGTTAACTCTTCGATTGGGACGGGTCAAAAGTTGACCGGTCACTTCCACTAAAAAAGTGACCGGTCACATTTTGGGCGTTAGCCAAAATGTCGCCTAATGTTACAAAGAACAATCTAGAAGACCAGAGACGGGTTGAGCACAAAGAATGACCGGGTAACCTTTGAGAGAAGGTGACCGGTCATATCATCTCACTTGACAAACATTGGTCCAGTATCTCAGGCATGGTGAACCACGTCAGAGGTCAAGGGGACACCCCGCCGCTCATCCATCACGAGGCACACAGTGAAAGGGATGTTTGTCATTTTGCAGGGTTGATTGGATTGAGAATATCCATTTTAGTCTTTGATTGAACAGTGCTTTTTGGTTGTATTAGTGGCAAGTCCATGATTGTACAGTGCTTCCATTATCTACAGTGACCTTCCCACGAGCTTCCTATTTTGTCCATGGATGAACAGGGGAAGGTCACAAAGCCTCCTCTATAAATATGATGATATTGGATAGAGGAGGGGATCCAATTTCTCTCACTAAAGTTCACTCTTGAGATAGAGTAAGAAATATAATTCGGACTGAGGAGATTTACCCGGTCTAGGTCATACTTTGTGTTCTTGTTGTGTGTTTTATATTACGGGTCGAGTGTGTCCAGGTCAAACCCGGTTAACCCACCCCGCTATATTTACACCATCATTTTTGGCGCCATCCGTGGGACAGATTTTTAAAGTTTTTTCGACCAGGTCAAAACTTTACCCCCA